CACGTCCTAGCTTGGGCTGCCACGGCTCGCTCTCACCTCCCTCGCAGCCCGGCTGAGCTGTGCCGCTGCCTAGATTCCAGCTCTGCCAGCCCCGGCAGCACTCACCAGAAGGGTAGATGGTGTCCAGCGTCACCTTCCTGGCACGTATGAATCTGCCCACCTGCTCCAGGTCCCCCTGCCTGATGTGGTCCTGAAAGACGACGTCATTGGGGAAGCGCACAGTGCGTGCGGCTCTCAGTCTCTGAGCGTACCGACTGTACCGGGGCATTGAGACTGTGTAATAGTCCTTCATGCTGCTCACAGCCTTCAGACACTGCGGAGGAAGAGGAGGAGCAGAGGCATGGGGGGCTGTGGGAGCCCCTGGAGTTGCTCAGTGCTCGGCCCTGCCGCTCACTGGCCTCGGAGCACCGCTTGCTCCTCTTCTGCCCGTCACCTCCCTCCTCGCTATGGAGGCGCGATGGCACCCGCACCGCTGCGCTCCCTCTGCGCCCGTGTCCGTGTCCCCGGTGGGTTCGAGTCCCCCTCGCTGGCAGGGAAGTGGCGGCCGCTGGGCTCTCCCTACGCTCCCGTGCCGCATGCAGGAGATGGCGCTGGGCACCCGCAGTTCCCCAGCAGGCCCTTGGCCCAGGACTGGTGGTTCTCCAGGGGCATGGCGTTATATAGGCTCCTGCGGGCTATTTTGAGGACGTGCAGCTCATGCTATTTGCCATGATACTTTGTAATCGAGCCGCCCAGGCCCGCGGCCTCCCACTTTTGGGCAGAAGTTGGTGTCTCATCTTACCACCCACCTGTTGATGTGCCCATCCAAGGGGTCAAACCTACTATTGCTTTTGCATGGATGGCCCTCCAGAGGAGTCCAAGGGCCTGACAACAGAACTTCCCAGCAGCAAGCCCACACACGCACCCGCGCGCGCCAGGGAAGGGACACAAGCGCCATCGCCCAGCGAGGGGAACCAGCCGCTCGCGTACCGGCCAGCCAGCGCAGTGCAGGCGTGTCACAGCTGCGGTGCCAAATACATTCAGAGCTAAGTCACTCTCCTGCAGTTGCATCAGACGACTTGAAAGGAGCAGCAGGAGCTGTGCTGCCCAGCACGACTGCGTACAGCTAAGCGTGGAGAACACCACCAGCACTGGAGATTATCAGTGCCCTTGGGAGGACAGAGGTGCTGCTGGTGCTCCTGATGCAGGTGCAGAACCAGAAGCCTACAATGCCCGTCCCTCATGCTCAATGTCCTACTTCAAACTCAGAACGAGCTGCTACTTAAGGGCAGGCTTCCACAGAACAGCCTCGGAACAGCTGAAGAATAGCACCACCACCAGACAATTCCTGCACTCGTTACTCTCCAGCTGTAGCTCTCAAAGACCCAAAATGGACCATTTACCACAGATGGATCTTTCTGCCAGGGGTTCAAGCAACAACTGATCCTCCATCCTTTTTCCCATCAAAGTTTGGCCATTTCAGATACACGAGCATGTTGCGCTGTTCTGTGCAGATGGGGATTGTCCAAGCAGGACAATGAATTCCCCTGCAGTGCATCAGGAAAAATCCCTGTCCTGTGTTAGGAATCACAGAGCTTTCATCCCTTCTGCAGCGCACCCTTGTCCTGAACCCCTGCCAGCAGCGAGGCTGACAGCTCGGTCAGCCGTGCACCCGAGAACTGCCTGCTGCGCTCATTCATCTTCTGGCAAACACATCGATCTTTTTGCTGAGCATCTCCGCTCAGCGGTACATCAGACAGAACACCGTGCAAGAGCAGGCTGAGCTATCTGCTGTGGAGACAGAACGCTTTTAGCCCACTTTCTTGGAACAGCAATTAGCTGTGTACACAAGATGACTCCGACGGAGTCCTGCTCTGCCAAGAGCAGCCCTGGTGCATGAGAAAAGTCCCCCTCCTCTGAGCTGAGCAAGGCAGGTCTCAGACCATAAACAGATGAGAGCCCCTGCAGAGCTCAGCCTTGCTTACGCTTCAGCTGGCCTCACAAAGGGACCTTTCTGAGCCAAGTCCTAACCAGCACCGTCCAGCAGAACTCCTTCCTAGCAGTGCTCTCTTCCTCCCCACCCCAAAACACAAGGCAGCTTTCTTACTGCTGGCACTGGCCACTCGTGCTGCCTGCTCTGGTGGGCTATGGCAGCGGCAGCTGGGCTACACGAAGAACAATTCCCCTGCTGGCCTTCAGACATGCAAGGTCGCAGCCCTGGAGGGAAGCATCTTCAGAGATCCTTCTCCAAATAACTGCAGGTAACAGCCACAAACACAGCTGGTTACTGACAGAACAGGCAGTAGCAAACCCTGTTTTCTGATCCCAGAGTCAGCAATTGCCTGTTCAGCCCCAGCCCCGGTGCTGCTGCGCCAAAGGTTTGTGCACACCACGCCAGGACTCAGCAGGGGCCCTGTTCCCAGAGGAACCACAGGAGGAGGCTGGAGCTGCAGATGAGCTTTGTACAACGCTTGCTCTACCACCCCAGTGCACGGCCTTCAGTGACAGGCACCAACAGCCTCCTGAGCTGCCCTCTAGCTTCACCATGCCCTCGCATGTGACATTTATAGCATATTTTCTTACAAAAATATTTTCAGCAGTAAGTGACTGGTTTGGAAATAGCAATGTAGCTCACTGGATCATGTGAGCCTGACTACAGGCAGCCCCAGGTTCCCTGTAGGCAAATTCCTTGGTTAACTGCTCAAGAGCAATGAGGTCTCCTCACCTCAGGCCAGCTGGCAAGCAGAGCCACTTCTTCTCAGAGACAGTGCCCCCTCACTGCTCATAGAGCAGTTAGTTGCCTGCCTGCACAAGCTGATTTAATCTGGACATGACATGGTCATCTTGATGTTATTTTCTTTTATAGAGTATGCAGTACAAATTTCTTCAGGTTAAGGTGCCAGAAGCCACTTGCAAAACTGGAAGTTTTTCCCAAAAATGTAGTATTTAGTGAAAGCTTGAGAGCTGACAAACACACAGCCCCCTCAGAGTCCCTCAAGAATCACCCTACACCTCTGACCCCCTCTCGGGTCAGGTTCAAATATATTCAACCTGTATTCTGACAGAGACAAAGAGCCATAATAGTATTAAAATCTCAACTTTATTTGGCCAACAAATTCAGTTCCAATGTTATTGTAGCGGAATGCTAAGAACCAGCCTGATGCAGCTCAGGCCTCTGAGGCACTCCCCTGTTCAAGTTCCTCCCCAAAACCCAGTAATTGCCAATGTCCTGTTTGATCGATTTTATCAGGCCCTCCCACACCACCCACCTGCCTGGTCAACCCATTCAAAATAATGCATGGAAAGTGATTGCAGAACAGTCTTGCCTTTGATCAAGAGGATGGCAACACAGCTAGGTCTCATCTCAGCTGGTGAGCCAGTGATCACCCCCACCCTCAGAGCCTGCCACAGCCAGTGCACACAGTATTCCACCCTTCCAGGTGTTTGGAAAAGTCATCTCCAAGCATCTTAAAGCAGAGGGGAAAGGAAATATCTGGCCAGCATGAAGAGAAGCACCTCCATGTACACCTCACACCAGAATGATGCCATCAGGCTACTGCCTCTTCCCCTACATATACCCAAGGCCGATTCCAGGGAAGAACAGCTGAGGCCATTAAGGACCCTGCCAGGTACAGAAATCAACTATGGGCTTTAGTTTTAAAAGAAAAAAAAGGAAAAAAGCTTTCTTGGAAGATGTTAGTGGCAAGGCTCCAAAATGCTGGACCACTGAACTCGTGCTACCACTCCACAATCTGCTTCTACCCAGAAGAGAATAATTCAAACAAAAGCTGTGTACAAAAAAAGTACATCACAATAAAAAAAAATGAGCCCAGCTGGCTGGGCTGGCTACCTAGTGACAGATCCCTTCTCAAAAGCAAAAAGAAAGAAAAAACAGTCAAGTGTACAGACAAGTGAGGGTAAAGTGTTACTTTGAAAGCCAATCCCTGGATTTCCAGTCATTCACCTTCTGCTTTAAATCTTAATGGGTTTCTGACTCACTGGGCTGCGTAATAGCAGCCAATTTAGTGTCTGATTTTTTTGGGTGATGTAGATCAGTCTTCTCTTTACAATTCATCCTTTTGGATTTTCTGCTCCTCATCATCATCACCTTCCTCAAGGTCTGTTTCTTCATCCGTCTCCAGGTCCTCCAGATCCTGCATAGGTTAAAGAGAGCTACTGGTTTCTGGCACATTAGGCAGATGCAAACCCAAGCACAGAACAGCACCTCCACTCTGTTAGACATTCTCTGCTGCTGCACTGACAGAACATCCAGAGACTTCTACCAAGAGCTCTGAACTGGGAACATTAAGGATTAGAAACCCTGGAAGCTGGTACCTGCACCTGTAACACCCTCCACCACAGCAGGCAAGGAGCTTCCAACCAGATAGACTGCGTACGAAATGTTCATCATACCCTCAAGTTCTGGTGCTGAGCAGGAGTTCTCAGTAAGGAATAAGCCCTCCAAGTACTCCAGCAGCTCGCACAACAACCAGAGACAGCTTGTGCAAATTTAGAGGTTATAAGATAAACAGTTTCCATGCATTTGTGTTTAAGCCTCCCAAGAACATTTATGTCACACCCAGCTGAAGTGTTCTCAATAAAAGGAGTCCATTACAGGCCAATGGCCAGCCAGGCTGCAACCGAGCAGGTCACATGTTATGATGTGGGCATTTTTGGTCACCGACAACATCTTTTCCTGCCACATAACCACCCAGGATCTTATTTCTGACCGAGGATTCAAGCACAACACCAGGTCAGATCTATGCCCATATTCTGAATGAAAGCCCAGAGTACCGTATCGACATTACTCACGTCATCAGCTGCTGCCCCATCCTGACCTCCGCTCTCCAAGAATTTTTTGAAGCCTTCTAGTGTCCTCTCCCCATTATAGTCAATTACCTAACACAGGAAAAAACATCAAGATAATGGTTACAGGCACCTACAGAACCACACCCCTGGGGAGGAGAATTCTCTTTCTGAGCAACAGTGAACATGCCAAGCAAAAGGGAATTTAAAAATTCACCTTCACCCATATGAGACGAAGGAAAACAGCTCAGCCACTAGACTTCAGAGATCACTGCGAGGAAAGAATAGCCTGCAGATGAGCACACTGTCCTCTGCTATGCTCCCTCTTTTCCCCATTCCCACTTCCCACCCCCACCAAACTTTCCTACAGCCCAGCCCCCCACAAAAAGGGTCTCGGATGTCCTCTAGACTTGATGTGTTCCATCCCTACAGAATTGGGAGCCCTCCCAAAGGCCTTGTCCAAAACAGAACTCAAGCAGGCAACTAAGCATTTCTAGTGCTCCCTCGCTATGTGATCTGCATAGACGTCAGCTGCCGCCTTACATTTCTGCCAGAGCCTGCAGGGAAGAACTTGAGCGTGGGGAAGCTGTGGATTTTCACTGCCTCTACTTCATTGGCCGTTGAATCCATCTTGGCAATGACAATGTTCTCATGGTCCCTGTAGGTCTCTCCCAGCTTGTCCCAGATAGGAGCCAGCTGCTTACAGTGACCACACCAGGGGGCATCTGTCAATTAGAAACACATAGCTAGCACCATCAGCCTAACAAGTTACCACCACCACCACTCCCCCCTCAGCCCCGCACCAGACAGTTCACACAACCAAGGCACTCCCTTTGTGGCTTAGAGAATCGAAGATGTTTCTCCCTAATCCCAGTCATGCAGTATTTTGGCACTCCTTTCATGCCAGTTACTTGGCATCAGCTGTTGAAAGATACTTACAGAACTCTACAAAGACATTCTTATTCTCATCAAAAGCAACTTCTTCAAAGTTCTTCCCAACTAGAACTTTGACAGGCTGCTTGTCCCAGTCTTCAGGAAGATCCTGACTCATCAGGTGGGGCTGGAATAAGAAGTGAAATTCAGATATGGTTTGCTACACAGCCTCTTGGAGCATGCATGCAATGACATATCCCGGAAAATCCAAGATTAACC